CTGACCCAAGCCATGGTATTTTCAATAACCTCATATGCATGTGAAAGCTGGACAGTGAATAAGGAAGACCATAGAAGAATTGATGCTTTTGACCTATGGTGTTGGAGGGGAATATTGAAAGTGCCATGGCTGCCAAAAGAACCAATAGATCCATTTTGGAGGAAGTGAAGCCAGAGTACTACTTAGAGGCCAGGATGGCCAAACTTCTCTCATACTTTGGACATATTATCAGGAGGGACCAGTCACTGGAGAAGGATACCATGATTGGTAAGGTGGAGGGTCAGAGAAAGAGGAAGACCCCCAACGAGATGGATTGGCGGAGTGGCAGCATCGAAGGACTCAAGCGTGGCAATTGTAGTGAGGTTGGCCCAGGATAGGGCAGTGTTTCGTTTTGTTGTGCATAAGGTTGCTATATTATGATGGCACCTAACAACAAATAGGATGCATAGGGTTCCAGAGTATCAGCTGGTAGGTTTGAACTGTTGATCTTGTGATTCAAAATCCACTGCTGATCCTACCCTGTCACACCATTATTAAGTAATTAACTGCACCATACCACCTTATACAAATTCTGACTTTTGCAGGGTATGGCACTGTAGGACCTCAAAGTAGTTTGAACTACAGGGTCATTGGTTCAAACTCACCAGTTGCTCCACCCAAACCCTATACAGGGTCGTTATGAGTTTGGAATCCACTCCTTGGCATTTAAAGAGAGTGAAATCATTGGGTCATATGCACTGGATTGTGAACCACAAGGTCAGTGGTTCTAGGTCACCAGCCACTCCTCAGGAAGATCAGGCTTTCTGCTCCTGCAAATACTTTAAGCCTTGGAAACCCTATGAATTGGAACTCAAGGCACTTAACAACTATGAATGGTTAAGTCATATAGTAATTTTTTTTTTTTTAAAGGAACTGCCAAATTCTACAGCTGCTGCTCTATTTTACAATCCTACCAGCAATGGATTAAGGCACTCTGGTTGTATAGTGGTTATGAACCAACCACAAGGTCAGAAGTTAGAAACTACCAGCTGTTCTGGATAAAGATGAGGCTTTCTGCTCCCGTAAAGATTTACAGCCTCGGAAATCCTGTACAGGGTCACTCGGAACTGACTCCTTGGCACACAACCACCACCACCAGCAGTGATTGGATTAAAGTTTCAAGCTCTCCACAACCTTCTAAATAGCCATCCCAGAGGGCATAAGTCTCATTGTCGCTTTGATTCTCATTTCCCTAATTACTAAATGCCAGTACAAATGGGTAATGTGCTGCCCTGCTAACCAAAACCCTCAGAAATACCTAAGAAAGGCCCAGAAATCCACTTCTAAAATTCCTATGGAACATAGTTCCACTCTGATATACAGGAAGTCACCACCATGAAATAGAATTGATTAAACAACCAGCAACTTTGAGCATCTTTCCATGTGCCATCATATATTTTCTTTAGAGTAACGTCTATTTTAATACTTGTCCGTTTTTAATTTGTAACACTTCAACCACCTGATTTATCATCAATTACTACTAAAAGGCCAAAATCAAAGTAATTCATTGTTTCTGACTAATTTAGGAGATATGCCATCAAATATATTTAAAATGACATTACAGAATGCATATTCAGTTTTGAAAGCTCATCTCTGAAGTCTGGGGTTTGAACTGCTGACCTTTTGGCAAGTTTACCTTATTGTAAGGACTGGACTAGTAGGGCACATCACCTGAGGGTTCACAAGTGGGGGTTTATTGTTAAATGCCACCTAGTTGGTTCCAACCATAGGGACCCTGTTTAACAGGGTTTCTGAAGCTTTAAATCTTCGAGGAAATACAAAGTCTCATCTTTCCCCCATGGACCAGATGGGAGGTTCAAACTTCAGATTTTGTGGTTCAAAGTTCTGCGCTTATGGTATGGCATCACTGCATCTTTTGTTTCAAAATCCTTTTGGAAATGACACAGCAGAAGAAATTCACTTCCTTTGTTATTAGCGTTGACATTAATTCCAAGCAACATTTACTTAAGTTTGGGATCCATAGTTAACTTCCCAAGAGTTTTATTTACACTTTTCTCATTCATCACCTATCCATTCAATATTTACTCTCTCCACAGAAAGTCAAATATTCTGCTATTCCTGAAATACACTCACAATAGATTGTGAGAACTAATTTTAAGTTGGGATGTCATTAGATCACTCGGAGATGGTGCAAAAGGGCTTGTCTTCCAGAGACGCAGACATGATGCGATCACAGTACAGTACAAGGTTAAAGAGTCAGATGAACAGCTTTTAAGGAAAACAACTTAATTGACATCTTTCCAGACTCCGTTCTAATTCTAAGAAAATAAAGCCTAACTGTTAATATGATCCGTACAATCTGCTGGATCGTGATTTCAATGTTTGACCCTTTTCCTCTCGAGTTCTTTTACGTCACCCACAATTGGTCTTCTCAAATACTCCAAACACTTCCAGAGACCTCCCCAACAAGTTCCACGTGCTTAATAACAGAGATAAAACCCGGCTTTCCCGGCTCCAGCAAGCGGATTCGGGGCTCCAGTAGGAGAGTTCCCGACTCCAGCAGGCTGGGCCCGCGGAGGCTGAAAACGCTACGCGCTCACGTGCCTCACCCAGGCGCCCCGCCCCAAGAGACTCCCGCGTTAGGCCCAGCGGGCGGACAGTTCCCCGCCGCCTGGATCCGGACTCCCCACGCCGGCCCTTCCGGGCTCGGCAGGCCAGGAAGATTTAAGGGTACATCACCTGCGGGCTGCTGCTGCGGTTGCTGCCGTCCTCCGCCCGGAGCTCCAGGATGTTCATTCCAGCACCGGTGTCCAAATCGGCACCGGCCTTGAAGGAAGAATTGACAAATGGTCATTGAGACTGTTCGCCTAGGAGAGAACTTCACCCAGCAAGCCACACGACCCGCAGTCTCAGCAACTGAAGCAACTCAGCCCCGCTCTTCTGACGTCTTCTTCTCGCGCCGGAGAAAGGCCTTTTCTGCCCTCTGCGATGAAAGGCGTGGTCTTTTACCCAATAGGATTTGTGGAGGGCGTGACGTAATGGCTATGGCCTGGAAAGGCGGGACGCTTGAAAGAATACCCAAAGAAACGCAGGCGTGTTTGACTCTGGAGGAAAAGCGGTTAAAAGAAAATATGGAACTTCAGAGAGGCCCTGAGGGAAGGATTAGCTGTGGTTTGAAAGACACAATTGTTTCTTCACTTGTAACTACTGTAAAAAATCAAAACTTACAGAAATTTACTTAAGACATTTATTCTGAGAAATTATTCCAGAAGAATCAATTAGTTCCAAGAATGTAGGTACATTGGTAACCCAACCCAAACCCACTGCTCCGTAGGATTTCCGAGGAGCGGTTGCTGAGCTTGAACCGCTGACCTTGTGGTTCAAACCGACTTTTACAACTCATTAACCACCGCGCCACACTAGGTCTCCGGAAACACTATATGAGGTTACTAGGGGGCGGAATCGAATCCAGGGCATTTAACTATCCAGTTGTAGCCAGGATACTTTTGAGATTTAAATTAGGAATTAATTTGTTGAGTGTCCTTTTCTACCTACAGAAGACAAATTTACATAACTATAGAGCAGTTTCTAGCAGGCTTTCACATTTCTGGTTCATATTTAGTTTTGTGGACTTTAAAAAACCTTAAAATCAGAGTAAGATGTTAAGTGCCGTCGAGTCGGTTCCGACCCATAGTCACCCTGTATAGGTTTCCCAGGAGCCGACTTCGCAGTCACAGCGCCATGGCTATTACTAATTTTCAATTGAGACAATAAAACTCTCCAGATCAGGATAATACAGCAGTGAACAGGTACAGTGGTAACCGAAAAGTCTGAGGTTTGAACTCACGAAGGGCTTCTCTAGATCTGTTGATATGCTCCTGTAAATATTATTATTGTTAAGTACTGTGGACTCGGTTCCGACTCATAGTGACCCTGTGTAGGTTTCTGAGGGGTGTTGGTGAGCTTGAACCAGCCCAGCGAATTAACCTACAGCGCCACACCAGGTCTTTTGTTATTCAAACACATTCGGCCTGAAGGTAAAACCTTTCACCGAGCTGGTTAACGGTCACAATGGACTCAAATGGAGGCTGATAAGCGCTCGATCGGTTTGAACTGCAGGGTCGCTCATTCAAATTCAAATTCCTCTGAAACCCTATTTTGTTGTTAAGTGCCACGGAGTTCGTTCCGACTCTTAGCGACCCTGTACTGGGTTTCCGAGGCTGTAAATCTTTACGGGAGCAGAAAATCTCATCTTTCTTCCGCGGAACAGCTGGTAATTTCGAACTGCTGATCGTGAGGGTCGCAGCCCGATTCGTAACCACTACGCTACCAGAGCTCCTTACAAGGTTGAATAGCACTTCACAATAACAACACACTCTCCAGAACAGTTTTGAACCTGGGGTCTTTTTCGTTAGTGTAAGATCTGGTGTGGCGCAGTGGTCTAATGCGCTGGACTGTAAAGTCGGTTATGATCCTTAAAGTTGGTGGTTCAAGCTCAACAGCTGCGCCTCGTAGGGGTCGGAAACGACTCCACAACGCTCTAAAGTGTCTGTTGTTAAGTGCCATTGGGTTGGTTCCGACTGAGAGTGACCTTGTACAGGGTTTCCAAAGCTGTAAATCTTTATGGTCTCCAGAGGAACAGCTGGTAGTTTCAAACTGCTGACCATGCGGTTCGTAGTCCGATTCGATTTGTGGGAGACTGTTGTTCACATAAGGAACCTTAACTCCATTTCTAATCCTAACAAAAATTCAGTCTCTATTTGAGTTCATTCTGCCCTTACCCAGCATTGTGAAAGGCTTTGCCCTTAGGCAGAGTGTGTTGAAGCAAGTTACAACTCCCCTGGCCAGTCCTGGGAGGAGCTGTCTTGCCCTAAAGGAACTTACCTGGGTGAGTCTTTACTGATTTACAGATCCACCTTACTGGAGGTTATGAGTCATCTCAGGACCATCAACTAGTCAGGTGGTTGAAGGGCCTAGAACCAATCCTGCATGCTTTTATAATCTCCCATTGTATGTACATCCCAATCTTTGTCATTTCCTGACTTCCACAGTCCCATCTGTGGCAGTGATGAATTGATCTGCTGCCAAAGATGATTTTGTGGAGTCCTGGTGTGGTGCGGTGGGTTAATGCGCAGGACTGCAAAATCGGTTTGAACCACAAGGGCAGTGGTTCAAGCTCACTAGGTGTTTCTCGGAAACCCTATACAGGGTCACTATGGATTGGAACTAATTCAGTGGCACTTAACAACAACTACAAAACCTTAGTTCTAGATCAAAGGAATCATTTGGACACCATTATGGTCTCTTGGTGATGGTTTCCTTTATCTGGTTAATGTCTTTGTCTTGTTGGGGGTTGGGGGACAGTCTCTATAAAATGTATTTGGATTCGATTTTGAGACTTTCCCCCACCAGAATAAGTATTAAAAAAAACAAAGATTACTTGCTGATGATGGTTACCAGGAGTGGGAGGGATGGGAAAATTATTCACTGGAAAGAGGGTTTGTTGTTGTTAGGTGCCATCGAGTCAGTGCCTACTCACAGCAACCTTATGCACAGCATAATGAAAAACTGCCTGGACCTGGGCCAGCCTCACTATTGTTGCCACGCTGGAGCCCATTGATGCTGCAACTTGGCCGATCCATCTCACTGGGGGTCTTCCTCTTTTTCTCTGACCCGCCACCTTACCAAACGTTATATCCCTCTCCAGCGACTACTCCCTCCTTACAATATGTCCAAAGTATGAGAGTTGAAGTTTGGCCATCCTGGCCTCCAAGAAGCACTCTGGCTTCACTTCTTTCAACACAGATCTGTTGGTTCTTTTGGCAGCCCATGGCACCTTCAATACTCTCCTCCAACACTATAACTCAAAAGCATCAATTCTTCTACAGTCTACCTTATTCACTGTCCAGCTTTGCATCTATATGAGGTTACTGAAAATACCATGGCTTGGATCAGGTGCACCTTAGTCCTCAAGTTGACATCTTTAGTTTTCAACACTTTGAAAGGATCATGTGCAGCAGATTTGCCTAATGCAATACGTCCTTTGATTTCTTGACTGCTGTTTGTTGATAGTTGATCCAAGAAGAATGAAGTCCTTGACAACTTCAATCTTTTCTCCATTTGTAAGAATGTTGTTTATTGGTCTAGTGGTGAGGATTTTGTTTTCTTTACATTGAGATATAATCCATACCTAAGGCTGTGCTCTTTGATCTTCATCAGTAAATATTTTAAGTCCTCTTCACGTTCAGCAAGCAAGGTTGTATCATCTGCATATCACTGCTTGTTAAAGAGTCTTCCTCCAATCCTAATGCCATGTTTTTCTTCATATAACCCAGCTTCTCGGATTATTTACTCAGCGTACAGGTTGAATGTTGAAGTTGTTGTTGTTAGGTGCCATGGAGTCAGTTCCGACTCATGGTGACCTTATACAGGGTTTCCGAGACTGTAAATCTTTACAGGAGCAGAAAGCCTCATCTCTCTCCAAGTATGGCTAAAGAAAACAACCCTGTCGTACACCTTTCTTAATTTTAAACCATCCAGTGTTCCCATGTTCTGTTCGAACAACTGCCTCTTGGTCCATGTACCAAAGACCAGAAGAGTTGTGGGATAACAAGAACATCAAACATTAAGAAAGCAAAAATTCATTAAGAAGAAAGAAGGAAAAGGTCAAAATGGATGTCAGAGGAAACACTGAAACTTGCTCTCCAGTGTAGAGATGCTAAAGCAAATGGAAGAAATGAGGAGGTACAGGAACTGAACAGAAAATTTCAACGATCAGCTCAAGAAGATAAAGCCAAATATTACAACAAAATGTGCAAAGATCTGGAGTCAGAAAACTAAAAAGAAAGAACACACTCAGCATTTCTCAAGCTGGGGGAACCGAAGTAAAAATTCAAGCCTCGACTTTGTTACTGATGGATTCTCTGGGCAAATTATTGAATGATGCAGAAAGCATCAAAAGAAGATGAAAGGAATATACAGAATCACTATACCAAAAGGAAATGGTTGATGTTCAACTGTTTGAAGAGGTAGCATATGATCAAGAGCCAATGATACTGAAGGAAGACTTCCAAGGTACATTGAAGGAATTGGCAAAGATCAAGGCACCAGGAATTGATGGAATAAAAATTGAAATATTTCAAGAAAGTGAGGCAGCACAGGAAGCACTCACTCATCTCTGCCAAGAAATTTGGAAGACAATTATTTGGCCAACTGATTGGAAGAGCTATCCGTATTTGTGCCCATTCCAAAGAAAGGTAATCCAACAGAATGTGGAAATCATCGGAAAATCTCTTTGATATCCCATGCGAGTCAAGTTTTACTGAAAGTAATACAGAAACGGCTGCAAGCATGCATTGGCAGAGAACTTCCAGAGGTTCAAGCCGGATTCAGAAGAGGCCATGGAATGAGGGATATCATTGCTGTTGTCCGATGGATCCTGGATGAAAGCAGAGAATATCAGAAAGATGTTTACCTGTGCTGAAAGGAAAAAAACAACCTGGCGTCGCTCATCAACCACACCGCACACCAGATGGCCCGTCTAGAGACTTTTATTCAGGGTGAGGAAGAGCAAGGTGATCTTTGCCCGAGAGTGAAGGCAGAAGAAGAGGAAGGTCAACAGGAGGGGAGTGGTCTTATATAGGTTCAAATCAGGAGATCACATGTCATTGCTGGGGTGATTTATCTCTGGCCTATCAAAAGCCATGTTGCCTTTTAAACTACACGCCTTGTATCTTAGATTGGCGGGGAAACAGAAACCTAAGATTACAAAATGGAGTTGAAGGGAAGGGAGAGGGAAGAACTGGAAGGTACAGCCTAAAATGGTGGGCCTGATTGTGACTGACTGATTATTGT